TAGTGTATGGGGGCCTTTATACTCTTTTGTAGACTATATATACTGTGTGTGGCACAGTTAGCTTTAGATTCATACTATAAATAATAAAACTAATGGGCCATAAAGCTATTTAAAATAATTTAAGCTACTTAATCATAAACTATATTATATACATGCATTACTCATCTATTATAAAAAGTTACCACTAAAAGGATTTGTTCCAATGCCAAGACTGTTGCAGTCCAGTTGTTCATTGGACTTTGCAAGGGGAAAGTACAACCAAAGGAAGAAGACAGTCTGTATGATCATCTTTCTCGCACCAATAATGACTGAGAACGCGGAAAGCAGCCTCAAAATGAGATAAAAGCAAACATACAGTATTATCATATTTGCTATATACATTCTTATCTATGATTTACATTGGATAATCAAATTTTCCCGCCCACTTATTACCGTAATAAATCTAGTTATTCGGGACAATGAAAAATTACGATTGCTCCGCCCACAACTTCCTGTGTCACATGGAGTCAAATTTGTCTCTCCAGTTCTTACCGGATGAAACAATCATCAGGACATTCTCATTCCTGGACTCCAGGGACCTGCTATTAGGACTCTCATTAACGTGCAAGAGGTTCTACGAGATTATAAACAGCATTTGGTACTGGAGGAGGCGTTATAAAGAGAATTACAGGGGGAAGGCCTTTCTTGGTTCCGTCATTGGCGTCTCACGTGATGAGGTTGAGGAGATGAGAGAGATGCAGAGGGGAGGGGTGTACGGGGATTTCTTGAGGAGGGCGTGTCAGTTTGACTCGAAATACATGCACTTGGAAATATTGGCAGGTTAAGAAAATCATACACTTAATTATTATTAATTAAAATTTTATTAATAGAATTAAAGCAGAAATTTAAAATGCATACCTTAAAAAATTTACATTACATTTTATAATTTTACAATACATACATTAGCAAAAATTTACATTATTATTATTAAGGTTCAATAAGATTATTATTATACAATGTATGGCAGACGCAAAAATTTAAAATACCAAAAATTCATTTTATTAAAATGTAATTCTTTCTCTTTTACTCACTTTGCATCAAATTTCTTTTCCATTTCTTTTTTCTCTGGTCTTAATCTACATTGTACATGTACACATACCTCTAATATTACCCTCTCTTCCCCTCTCCCTCTCTCTCCCCCTCTCTCTCTCCCTCTTCCTCTCTCTCCCTCTTCCTCTCTCTCCCCCTGTCCCACTCTCTCTCTTCCTGTCTCCCCTCTCCCTCCCTCTCTCCCCCTCAGCTTCATCAGGAGGGCTAGATTGTGTACATATAGTCCATCCTAATATATCTGGTACCAATACCCTGGTTGCAGCTGGTAGTCGGGATCAAAGGATTTATCTATGGAAGAAGAGAGACACTCAGTCCTTACCTTCATCCTCCTCTCGCTCAATGCGCCAATACTTAAGATCTGAGCTTTATGGAACTACTGGACACAAGGTACGTTACATGTACATGTACACACACTGTATGGGATATACAGCACCTGCGGTTACTTTGATCTGTAGTTGAAAGTACATGTACATCATACAAAACCATTTATGATCATAATAATAATTGCTTGTAGAAATACCTCATTAAAACTAAAGTCCATTTGCATTCACCTGAGCCCAGGAAGTGATTAGAAACCCCACCCAATAATTAACACTATGCAATAATATTGTGAAAAGTATGGCTGTACTTTCTGCATGGGTTGTACAACCAACTTGGAGCTAAAGAGCTACAGCTGCTTCTTCAGTATCACAATGGATGCGGCAAAAGGAGAGGAATGCACTGATATGTTTATTGTTATAATAGAACTTGTAGGTCAAAAGTTACAGCAAGAAAACGAGGGCTCAGGTGAACACAAATGGACTTTAATCATAGTTACCAAAAGTTTAACTAAAGAATTTCGAATTTCATACAACACACAAAAGATACACACTAGAATATATTTAATTCTTTCCTTTCTCCCCTAGGGTTGGGTCTGGTGCTTAGCTTCATGTCCTGATGCTCCTAATGTATTGTGTTCTGGTGGTTGGGATCATGAACTCTGCGTCTGGGACCTACGAATCCAAGAACTTATGCTTAAGATAAGGTACTAGACTACAATAACATAGTGATATTGTATGTACATGAAATTAAATGTTTAATTTTATGTAGCAGGTATATGTACATCATAGTTCTGCCTATGGTGGTCGGGGGTGGTCGGGACAACTACCTCAACAAATGAACCAACCAGTTCATCACTTAGACCAACCATCCAATTAATACTAATAGCCATACATAAAGCATGATATTGTAGTCTACTAGTATGCTGTACATAAACTTAAAAAAAATCTCCAACCACCTCCATTTTTTTCGTGGCAGAATCCTGGTACATGTAATTCTTTAGTGGGTAATTAAATTCTTACTGATCTCTTTTATAGTCGGAAGCACAAGGCGGCCATTTTGGGTGTGGCATTTCCTGAACCTACTCTAATACTAACCAGCTCCTCTGATAAAAAAGTGAGGAGTTTCGATATAAGAGCAGAACAGACCGACAAATCAGGAGGAAGAACTAGCTATACTCACGAATTGGGCGAGATTGGTACTCATGCCAAAGCTGTCCTGTGTTTAGCTGCTAATGGTCAGTATGTGTATTCGGGTAGTGAAGATAGAACTTTGATGTTGTGGGATATGAGGAAACCTAATGAAGTTGTAGCAACGAGTAAAGTAAGAAAAAGGTGTTAGATTTTTGAGGAAGTAGAATTTGGCGAATTGCTAAATTTTGGATGATTGGTGGATTTTGAAATAATAGAAATATAGAAATATACTACATGTACAAAAATTTATACATGTACATGTACATGTTTTACGATGCTACATGTATATGTACACTTACATGCATGTACATTTACATACATCATACATGTACATGTAAATGCACTTTGTGTGTTTTCGTTGATTTCCAAGAAAATTGTTCTTCTTGCCATAGTACATGTACATGTACATGCATGTGTATATAATTATGAACTACATGTACATGTACAATTATGCTATGAGTAATTTTGATATTAATTTTGATGTTTTTTTTCTTTATTTTCTAGTATGGATCATCAGTGACTGATATTTGTTTTAATGATGGTTTCCTTTCTATTGCTACTGGGTCTGTTGTACATTTCATCAATAAAGACCTCACTCCAATCTCAGTCAGTTGTTAAAAGAATTTATATTAATTCAAATTCAGTATACATGTATGTACATGTACCTCATTGATTTTAGGAGAGAATTTTTGGTACATTTACATTTCCTAATGCATATACATGTTCTTATGTTGCGTAGCAAGTTTGAGCTGATTCCGATCGAAATTGGATTTTTTACAAATTAAAATTGAATCAAAGTCCTTGTACTATAGTACAGGCTTTTTTGGTCAAATTTCACCAAAAATGACTAGGAGAGAATTCTCCTTGCCCCCGAAATTTTCGCTCCCCAAAAGTACATAAAGTTTAGCACTACATGTACATTTACAGTTACATGCATTTGTCATTAATGTGTTGATATTATGGTTAAGGTTTGCCGATTTGTGTAATAACATAGAAACTGAAAATTATGATAAGTGCATACATGTACATGTACATGTACATGTAAGCACAGTTGCACACACACATACTGGACTTGCAGTGTCTGTTAATTCACACATGTACATGTACATGCATTATGTTTCTCATTTGCTATTTTTAGTGTCTCAATGCGTCCACCCTTCCTCTTACATGTACATTTACATTGTACATGTATGTATATGTACCATATAGCAGTAAATTTTGGAGGGGCTAAAATTTGTTGAATTGCTAAATTTTGGTGATTGGCAAATTTGTGGCCACGTGCCATTGAGCATGTGTATAATGGCTCAAAATGGCAGATTTTATTTTGGTGGATGGCTATCAAAATGCCAAATTCGCCAAATTTAATTCCCTCCAGAATTTCCTGCTATATGGTACTACAACTTCATTATTTTCTTCCCTCTTTCTCTCTCTCTCTCTCTCTCTTCTAAATCCTAAATCCACAGAGTTATCAAACCGAGCATGTTAATCAGTTAACTTCGGTTTATCATAATCTTGGTATGCTGATTACTGGGTCCAAGGACAGATCAGCAATGATCCACACTATGACTCAACCTCATTCATGTCTTAAGACCATCGAACACCTTCAAGATGTCACTGATGTAAGAGAAAAGAATAATAATTATTTTTGTGATACCACATTGAATAAAGTCTGCATCTATTGAATGAATAAGTGGAGTACATTCTACATAACTGATACTTTCTTTCTGGTACCTATAGATGTAGTATAGGGACTTCGGCCTTATTTTGGAGTAGCTTTAAAAATTTGTAAAAAATGCAAATTTCATCGGAATCAGTTCAAACTTGCTACACAGCTTAAGAACATGTACATGTATATGTATTGGGAAAATTATTAAAATGGGGAATTCTCTCCTAGTCGTTTTTGCTGAAATTTGGCCAAAGACGCTGTACTATAGTACAGGGATTTTGGCTTGATTTTTTAGCAACTTTAAAAATTCATAAAAAATTCAAGTGTGACCAGAATCAGCTTAAACTTGCTACACAGCATAAAAACATGTGTATGTATCAGAAAAAATTATAAAAATGGAGAATTCTCTCCTAGTCGTTTTTGGTGAAATTTGGCCAAAGACACTATACTATAGTACAGGGACTTTGGCCTGATTTTTGAGCACTTTCAAAATTTTCAAGTGTGACCTGAATCAGCTCAAACTTGCTACACAGCATAAGAACATGTATATGTATTAGAAAAAAAATTATAAAAATGGAGGATTCTCTCCTTCATGGGTGGTTGCAGAAATTTGGTTTGACCTGAGCATCAATAATTAGTGGGTGTGGTTCCATACAATTTTGCAAGGAAAAATGGACAATACTGATCTATAACTTCATTGAGATGGTTTCTTAGCATAAAACAACAAAGAAGCCTGTTGAACTACCACAGCTTACACAGGATGCCCACACCAGAATCATGAATATAATTATTGGTCAAAAAGTTAACCTGGGCATTGCCCTCTAATGCCCAGGCCAGCAACCGCCTATGCTCTCCTTGTGATTTTTAAAAATACCCTTTGACTGCTCTTTTAAAAAATTAATGAAACTTCATACCAGTGATATTTATTAGGTTCATAATGTTATTTTTATACTGTGTCTTTGATGTTCAAGATCTTGATGAATGAAGCCCTAACGCTTTCAGTTTCACGTTCAAGACTGATACCGATTGTTATTTGTGTATTGTGATTTGTTGTGTTTTAATGTTATTGATAGTGAAGATAAACACTGGCTCACGTTCAGCTCATCTGCTACCTACAATGTACAATATCTTATAATGAAAGTACCCCAATATAAAGAGTATTATCAGTATATCCATGCAGTACTTCATCAATATTAACTGCCCACAGTGCATTAGTGTGTGTGCGTGTGGGCATGAGTGTTGTTGCAAAGTTAGTTTACCTTAAGAATAACTTCCTTTCTAAGTCTCCTTGTCACTCTCTTTCCTCCCTCTCTCTCTTTCTCTTTCTCTCTTGCTGTCTGCCCTGCAGGTTCATTTCAGTTCTGGTTCTCTAGCTATTTCTTCTTCAGATAGAACAGTCTCTCTTTGGTCTCCTAAGAAGCAGCAGACTCTTCCCAGCTCCTCCTGACTGATCAACAATCAGTTTTAGCAAAAACTATTTGAGAGTGTGTGGTTTGTTGATGTTTTGAGATTGTGACAGGCTTAGAGATTTTAGCTTATACCTCTTTTATCTCTCTCTCTCTCTTATTTATTTTAATAAATATGATTCCAATGGAGAAACTAATAGTACTGGTCTTCTCTGCTGCTGCACTGTCTCTAGCTGGAGTAACTGAAGCTCAGAGTAACGAATCAAACTCTACTGATGAAGATGGTCTTTCTAGCATAACAGAGGTCACAAGTCTGGCTAACAGTAATTTTTTGGAGGTAACTACAACCATATCTGAAGTGGAAACACCAAATGCCTCAGTGTCCTCTGATATTGATGCATCATTTGTGCCAACATCTTCTTATACAGCATCGCAGCCTGTTGTGCCTGGCACTACCTCTGTTTCTTCTATGAATTCATCAGAACCAACTGCTACTGCTCCTACAATGTCACTACTTAGTAGTATTCCTTTTTTTGAAATGAATTCAACAGTGGATTTAGAAATGATGATTTCAATGTCTTCTACTATTATGACATCATCTCTTGAAGATGTGACAACTTTAATAGATGTGCCAGCTTCAATGAATATGACAACTTCGATGAATACTACAACTTCGATGAATATGACAACTTCAATGGATATGATAGATATGGCAACTTCAACTCCAATAGATATGATGACTTCAATGGATTTTGATATCTTCTCATTTTCTGTGGAACAGACCAGCACAATGCCTTCAAGTTCAATTGAGTCTCCAAGTATTCTTCCAACATCACCATCAAGTATCATAGAGTTCTCCCCTGTTACTATTAGTCCCAGTATCACTACCACTGCTAGTATTACTAGCAGTATCACATCCAGCATTGCAACAGACACTAGTACTATGGTAGAAACCAGTACAATGGATACCAGTACAGTAGAAACTGCTACAGTGGCAAGCACTACATTAGAGACCAGTACAATAAATATCACTACAGTAGGTACCAGTACCAGCACAGCGGAACCCTCTTCAACAGTGATATCTGTTACTTCTGCACCAACCATTAGTACTCCAACTATTCCAACAACCAGTATTATATCAAGCACCAGTATCATATCAGTCACTAGTACTTCAACAATGTCCAGTAGGGCACCACCCACTAGTATTCCAACTAGTACTAGTAGTACTAGTACCCCAGTTCCACCGACCATCAACACTTCATCAACTCCAGCTTCATCAAATCAAGGATTAGTCGTTGCTCTCTCAGTATTGTTCACTATTGTACTGGTGATACTTGCTGCAGTGACCTGTGTATTACTGGTTGTGTTGAGAGTATACATTATCAAGTAAGTTATTGATATAATGA